TTTGTCAATACAGTAGAATCTCTCTAAAGAACACCTAGACACCTTTCTTTAAAAGACTGAAAGACTGGATTCCCACCATTAGTTAGAATTAGTCTATTCTGATAAGGCACAATTTGGATTATAGATTATAAACACAAGGTAATAAGACCAAATCCAAATAACACATCCACATCCAATCCCACACTGTTTATTTATTTGGATTTGGTCTTATTAACTTGTGTTTAGATTTAGTCTATTTTGAAGCTATAACAAGTATTCTATAAAATAAACCTTTGCATCAATATTAAGCTGGATATATCAAAGCCTCCAGGGAGAGGTTTCTTTAAAAATTGTTTATTGACAAATCTCTCTCTAGCTTTCAGGTATGGAAGCTCTTCCACAGGAGAAGACATGATACAATAAATCACCAGAAGGATAAGAGTTTAAATACAGTAGAACCTCCCTGTAAAGGACACCTAGTTGCAGAGCCAAAGTTTCCTTTAGGGAGAGGTGTCCCTCTTACTGGAGAGTTGCTAAATTGTAAAAATGGTAATTTTACAAATGAAAACTGTCCTTTGTAGAGAGGTGTCTGCAAAAGGGAGGTTCTACTGTATAATCAAATACTATTTTACATAATAAATTCTACAGGAGTTTTATGAAATTATATAAAATAGTATTTGATTAAGCTCTTATTCTGGTGATTTATTGTATCATGGGGGGCTTCCATGCCAAAAAGCTAGAGAGAGATTTGTGAATAAACAATTTTTTAAAGAAACCTCTCCATGTGGAGGCTTGATATCTCCCTACCTTAATTTGTTATTTGGATATTTTAATAATTATATCTTGGTCTTCTTTCTTATCTCCACAGCTTGTAAAACCTGAGACTTTTGATGGTGTCTGCTGGGGATGAGTAGAGCTCATCAATGGATGAGTCAATACAGTCAATAATGTGGTATATCTTGTTATAAAAAAGTGTTGTGGCCACAGTTGACATCAGAAAAGATGTCCAAGCTGCTCTGAACGCAACAGTCTCCAAATTTACCAAGCTGGATGCCGTGGTCAACTGTTCCATCACAGATCTCCTCCGCCAAGTTTACAACCCACACAGAAAAATAACTCACGACTTGGAGGAATTTCACAATTTACTAAAGGTAGGTTGGCTCTCTCATTCATTTTGTTGTTGTGGTTGTTTAATATATGACAAAGATGCCTCAATTGTTGATTCTAGCAACCTCATCAATTTGTAAAAGTTTTTATTTAACTTGCTTCCATGTTTGTCTGTACATAAATCTTGTGTAAAAAGTACGAAATCATATAGGTGAAAAGTTTCTTTTAATTTAAAAAAAAAACCTTTAAACTTATATGATTTTGTGCTTTTTATAAATTTTCTACAGGCAATTATATAACCCATAAATGTTGTGATTTTTTTATTATACTTATAGAGCACACCTAGAAGTCTGAAATATGGTACACTTGCTCAAACTTGGTCACAATACAAGTTGACAAAATTTAAGATTTAAGGGTGGTTGGGGTAGTCAGAAATGGACTAATTTCTATATTTCCTTTCAAATTTTGTGGTCAATTTTACCATACTTCCAGACCCCACAGAAGTATGACAATTTTACACTTTCTCAATCCAACTTATGATGCATGTGTACAAAATTTCAGACTTCCAGGTTGCCCCTGATGTTCTGGAATAGAAGGTCTACAGCTACGATCCTGAAACAAAATCAAAACCAAATCAATGGCTGGCAGATGAAAACTCAAGACCCAAAAAACCAGAATGGAAAAGTCAAAAATGAAGGTTCTGATTGTCACTTTCTTTTCGACAGTAAAGGATTTGTATATCATGAAATCATGCCAACTGGGATGACAATTATCCAAATATTTAATCTTGGTATTTTGAAAAGGAGGCTGTGTGAACAACATAAATGAAGATTGGTGGCTCCTCATCATGATAATGCACGGCCATATATGGCTCATTCTGTGCTTGCTTATTTGACAAAAATAACATCCCTGTGCTTCCACACCCTCCCTATTCTCCTAATTTAGCACTGAATGACCTTTCTCTATCCGAATTTAAAGATGGCACTTAAAGGTCCACTTTTTGACACAATACAAGCCATTAAATAGACATCCTTGAATGTTTTGCAGGCGTACAGAAAGACAAATTTTCCAAATGTTTTCAAAGTTGAAATAAAAGATGGCATAGGTACATTGATGCAGAAGTCTTATTTTGAAAAGTATTGAAAAGTTTTTCATTTTTTAGTCCAGAATACTCGTGTTGGATGGGCAGCTCAGATGTGCTGGAGCTCTTGCTTTGCATAAATCAGCCACCTTATTTCAACCATTTATTATTACCAGTTGCAAATAAGACAGGCTATATTTGATCTGGATATTTGTGTGTGAAACTATTTACAATAATTCATATTAGTAGAGAGGTAAGTAGAGAGAGGTTACAGAATTATCAAAAGAAAATAAACAATTAAGAAAAAGAGCATTAAATAAACATATACATTAAACAAATAAGCAACAACATAAGCAGATAGAAGAAACTGCAAGTTTTTCAACCATTTGCATGTTTGGTGGAAACATCTGCGCAGACATCATTTTCATATAAATTGGACAAATCCTTCTTGATGCATTGATTTTCTTGCTATAGAGTAAACTTTCAATGATAATTGAACAAAATGACATTTGAGTGAAAGTGTTACCCTCTCACCCAGTACCTATAAATAAGACTTGACTCAAGTTCTCTCACTGTTCTCAGAAAGAAGCTGTTGGTGTTGTTCAGGAAAACACACTCGGCACCTTCAACTGACCAGACTATCAGCAGCAGTGATGGGCCGCAATACACCAGCTGAAGATGGCCACCGCGGGGTGATGGTGATGACCTCCACCACCAGCACCATGGACGGCTACGAGGGCCAGGCGGCCATTGCAGCCAGCATGGCGGAGTGTCAGCCATGACACTGCCCTTATGTAGAGAACTCGGACGTATCGGCATCCGTGTCTGCACACTGGCACCTGGTAGGTTATTTGGACATCATTCAGATACCTTCTAAACACAAAGTAATAAGACCAAATCAATAGTGTGTGACATTTCTGTAACAGCGTTGTTAAGAGGACACCTCTTCCTAAAGGAAACTTTAGCTCTGCAACTAGGTGTCCTTTACAGAGAGGTAGTTCTACTGTACTTATATTTGAACTAAATGTATCACACACTATTTATGTATTTATTTGGATTTGGTCTTATTACCTTGTGTTTATAATCTACTAGCCGAATGACCCGGGCAACGCCCGGGTTTTACCCGATTGAATTTTTTATTCAAATACTATTCGTTACAATTATAAATTGGAGCCGTGGATGTCACTCTTGTGAAACATCCTGCTCCAAACTTTACATGTACATTAGGTCAGCTGGTATAACCCCCCATTTTCACCGCTAGAGGCACGAGCGAAAGAGCAAATTTGCAAATAACACGACGGATATTCGGGATAGAGACCTGAAATTTTCACTAAGAGTTTTTCCAGATTCTACTTTATATACTGTTAAAATTTCAGTCAGATTAGTTATGTATTGTGGACGTGTATAGTTGACAAACATATATACATACATACATACATACATACATACGCTGACTTTTATATATACGAGGTGTGTTCAAAAAGTATTGCGACTTTTGTGTTTTTTAAAAAATTATTTATTTATTCATGAATACCTATTTTGTCCCCTTCAAAGTAATCCCCATGAGATATTATACACTTGTGCCAACAGTTTTCCAATCTTCGAAGCACTTCAAAAATCATTTTTTAAAATCTTTTTCAGCTCCTCCTTCGATGCCGTCTTTATCTCGTCAAGCGTAGCGTAACGTCGTCCTTTCATGGGCCTCTTCAGTTTAGGGAACAAGAAAAGTCACAGGGGGCTAGATCTGGGGAATACGGTGGCTGCGGCATCATTAGTGTGTTGGTTTTTGACCAAAAAGTCGCTCACAAGCAACGATGTGTGAGCAGGGGCGTTATCGTGGTGCAAAAGCCAATTTTTGTTCTTCCACAAATCCGGGCGTTTCTGGCGGATTGCTTCGCACAAATTGCACATAACTTGCAGGTAATATTCCTTATTGACCGTTCTACCCTGTGGCAAGAACTCATGATGCACCACGCCCCTGCAATCGAAGAAAACTGTCAGCAAAACTTTCACATTCGACCGAACTTGGCGCGCTTTTTTCGGTATTGGTTCGTGCGGCAGCTTCCATTGAGATGATTGAGCTTTGGTTTCCACGTCATAGCCATAAACCCACGCTTCGTCACCAATTATGACCCTCTGGAGCAAATTTGGGTCGTCACGGACAGAGTCCAACATCTCATTAGCAATGTTCATGCGATGCTGTTTTTGGTCGCAATTGAGCAATTTTGGTACGAATTTCGCGGCGACCCGTCTCATGCCCAAATCATTGATAAAAATCGAATGGCACGAGCCAATCGATATGTTTAGGTCCTCAGCAACTTCTCTAACGGTGATTCAACGATTGGCCAATATCATTTTCTCCACTTCATTAATTTTTTTGTCTGTTGTTGAAGTGCTCGGGCGTCCGGCACGCTCTTCGTCGTTCACATCTTCTCGGCCTTCTGTGAACATTTTGTACCCCCGATAAACGTTGCTTTGGTCCAAGGTAGCTTCTCCGTATGCCACAGTCAACATTCGGAATGCATCTGTGCACTTAATTTCGTTTTTCACACAAAATTTGATACAGGTTCTTTGATCCATTTTTTTTAATAGGTAAAAATCGAAGACGATCCAAAACACCTGCAAGCAAAGTAGCTGTCAACAATTAAGTGAACATTCAAAATGGCCGAGCTTGTCGGCATAAGTGAGAGACATGAGTACCAACATAAAGCCACAGAAAGATCGAAATTCAAATATACATAACCCGCGAAAATTCAAAATTCGAGATACTTTTTGAACACACCTCATATAGGGATAATAATATAAATGAGTTTTAAAAATTGTAAAAAAAAAATGCATCGGCCGGGAATCGAACCCGGGCCGCCCGTGTGGCAGGCGAGCATTCTACCACTGAACCAGCGATGCTTATATGAAATGGCCATATTTGGGTATTTATTCCATTCACAAAAGCAAACAATGACAGAATTGATTGTTGATGACTGATACTTGTTTATAATCTACAATCCAAATTGTACCTTATCATTTTAGATATCTTCTATTACTACAATCCTACATGCTAACAGGAATTTTTCTTGAATAATTAAGCCACAAAACTCTTTCAGATATCAAAATACAGTAGAACCTCATGAGAGGATGCTCACGCTAGAGGACACCTCTCTACAAAGGACAGTTTTCATTTACAAAATTATCATTTTTTTACTATGTAACAACTCTCCGTTAAGAGGACACCTATCCCTAAAGGACACTTTGGCTTTGCAACTAGGTGTCCTTTACAGAAAGGTTCTACTGCACTTGTATTCGAACTAGATGTATCTCTGTGTGTATTATTATATAATCTTTTTTTTTTTTTTAATTATCCCTAGTACACGTGGTACAGGCCATGATAATCATGGTGGGTAGAAGTAGGCGACTGCTTTTCCTGTAAGCGCACCACATGTCTACACATGTGAAAAGCAGTTCATCATGCACTTACAAATGTGCCAGAGCTCTGTTTGGTTATTTGCACTCTCTGGTGGGGTTGGACTTTTACAAGAATCAGGGGCCATTGGAGCTTTTTTTTTTTAATCAGAAAAAAGTGCCAAATGCAGGAATCGAACCCAGGTCATAGTGGTCGAAAACCAACGGTTTAGACCATCCTTCCACCGACCCCCATAGATAAATTTAAAACAAACTACTACAGTAGAACTCTTTGCTCAGACATTACCAGACATCTCTCTGCAAAGGACAGTTTTTATCACCAACATATTAGCTCCTCCCTGGTATAAGACTCTCTCTAAAGTACACATCGGCTCCGCAAATGGGAGTTGTCCTTTGAAAGGCTTCACGATTTTACATGTTATGCCGGTCCCAAGCCCAGATGAAAAAGGAGGAGGGGAGCAGTAACAAGCTCGCTAAAAAACCTGGGCTCAGCTGGCCCGGCTGATAGTACCCTGTAAGGGCTCCTAATCCAGGGATACAAGATGAGCAGCGTTTGTACTCCATGTTAGGAGCAGCTGCACATAGTGTCTGTTCCTCATGTCAGAGGCGGCCATTTCTTTTGGAGCTAAGTCGGCCTGCCACTGAGTAGTGCTCCCAGTCTTAATGACAAAGGCAGACACATTCTATTTCACCCAGTCATGATGATTGTCAAACAGACACCATCAAGGGTCACAACTTGATATCCTAGTATGATTGAGTGGAGATTAGAAAGAAGAAGATATGTTATCCTTGTGCAGGGGCCCTGATAATCTTCTCTGTATTGTTCCAATTTTAGTATATTCACCGCCAAATAAAATGAAAATCAAATAAAAAATTTCAGCATGTGCAAATAAAGAGAAAAATATGATTTAAACCCATGTTTATATTATCTAATATAATGATAAGGCACAATTTGGATTATAAACACAAAGTAATATGACCAAATATAAATAAATACAGTACTTCTGTCTGAAGATGGTAACAACGCTGTTATTGAAACATCGCATACTATTTATTTATTTGGGTCTTATTACCTGGTGTTTATTATCTAATATAGTACAGTGATATTCTATTTAACCATTAAGATTAGAAAACATTGTATCCTGATTGGCTGATGTGGCAGAAGGGAAACAATCATCAAGCGAATAACCTGGGCATCATATTTACATATAAATGATTAAGGGATATATTATATGCAATTTTTATTTAAATTAGCTACAAGAAAATAAGATCTAAATAAATTAAGAGTGTGCGACATTTCAGTAACAGCGTTGTTACCATAATGTCACACACTATTAGTTTATAGGATTAGGTCTTATTTTCTTGTAGCTATAATCTATAATCCAAATTGTGTTTTAAAATTAAAAAATAACAATTATTTAAGATAATTGCATATCATATATTTTCTGTACTATACAGTCTAACTTCTCTATTTCAGCACCCCCAAGGGATCAGAGCTTTTGGTTGAATTGGTTGGCTTTCATGGAAGCAGACGCCTTTGCTGCCAACTCTAAAATGAGTACAGATACAGCTCCTCCATATCCCTGGAGTGGGACACTTGCTGAGGTCTATCAACCTGGGTCAGTTGAACTCGGGGTTTTTAAAGATGTCTTTCTCCTCTTCTAACAATGCTGCTGTTGGTCCGTGACTACTTATTCCTCAGAGTTATTCTGCTTGTTTCACAGCTGGCCTTCATATCTGAAGGTCGTTCCCCTATCCGCCACCTGGGGACGTGCCCCTTTAGCAGTCCGCTCTGCCAAGGACCACATATAGACTAACAGTCCAATGTGTGCAGGACTCTTTGATATCCCCCAGCTGGACATTCTACAGAGAAGGTCCGAAGTTCTACATCTCAGAAGTCCCATGCCCCAAGAGGCTTGGCCATCCCGATGAATTTGCCCACGCTGTCCAGTTTGTCCTCGAAAACTCCATGATGAATGGCACCGTCATGCGCATTGATGCCGCTCTCAGGCTACAATAGTCAACTCTGTAGATTAAACATCATTTTTTCACCATGTAGCCTCAGTTTGGTTATTTTCTCAACAAATATAGATTGGGAAATGTGAAATAAAATTTCTAATGGTTTTGTTGATACATATTACAATGGATAAAGATCTCTATACCATAAATATACAATTAGCCCTTGGAATTGATATTAGGCATCTCTCAACAGTTGTCTCAATTAAAGAAATTGTTTATCAGATAGTACTTGGAGGTGACACCAGCACACAGCAGCCATCTTGTTTGCTGGGCCTACTACATCAGCATCCTACAATGCAACTCTTACAATATAAACTCAGTTTTGGTGGTACATTCCTTATATTGTACAACACATCTTGGGAGGACCCCCCTGGATCATGATTTTCATCATTCTGACTCCAGGCTACTCATGTGCTAGTTCCGCCCTCACATATACAGTAAAACCTCCCTGTAAGGATAACACCTAATTGCAGAATCAAAGTGTCCTTTAAGAAGAGGTGTCATCTTACTGGAGAGTTTCAAAAAGGTAAAAATGGTAATTTTGTAAATGAAAATTGTCCTTTATAGAGAGGTGTCCTCTAGCATGAGTGTCCTCTCATGGAGGTTCTACTGTATCTCTATTTGAATAAGCTATTCCTAGATTCTTTGAAAATTTTAGGAGGAAAAATATAGAGTACTCTTCCAAAAATTTACCTTTCAACTCTAAACTAATCCCAGCATGGACACTCTCATGAAATTCATGTAATCCTTGCACAAGAAGATAAAAAACAACAACAACAACAAGCTAATCCTAAAATCAAATATTAATTTCCAAAGAAAACTTATGAAAATATGCATTTTAAATCAAAATATTCAAATAATATTGCTTTTTAAAAATTATTTTCCACCATTTCTAATGAACTTAGGATATTGACTCTACCAATCTACTATTGTATGTTCTGCCTAAACAGCCTGAAATTTGGAAGAATTCTTTGTAGAGACATTGGAAGAAATGATGCCAGACAAATGGGTCTAATATGATAGCCTGTCCTAAGTCACTTTAGTTTCATAACTTAGTGTGGCTATATAATGAAGTGTGAGTGAGATCACATATTTCAAATATATATATTTGCATCGCAGTAAGTTTAGTGGAAGTTTGTTTCATGTTCAAAAGAAACATTCATGCCTTAATTTCTTATAGATGGCTATAGAGATAATATTCATATAGATGGCACATTATTGCTTTATACAGTAGAACCTCCATGAGAGGACACTCACGCTAGAGGAAACCTCTCTACTAAGGACACATTTTATTTGCAAAATTACCATTTTTACTGTTTTTCAACTTTCCAGTAAAAAAGGACACCTCTCCCTAAAGGATACTTAGGCTCTGCAATTAGGTGTTCTTTACAGAGAGGTACTACTGTATTAATTTATGCCTAACTGGCTTTGTCTTTATTGTTTGCAGAAGAGCATTGTTTAATGCAAATTATTTATATGTATATGCTACTGTTATATAGGCTCATGTCCATAGTTTGCTTGAATACCATTTCTGAGATTCCACTCTTCAGTTTAGCATATATAAGCAGAATAGTTCAATACAGTATTAGAGCTCTAAGAGGCAGTCTGGTAGATTGAATTGACGAAACCACTGGGAGGGTTGACCACTGATGAGCCAAGTCCTCCCAATATTTTTTCAGCGCAGTAAAGTCATTAGAAGTTTGTTTTATGTGTAAAAGAAACATTTGTACCTCGAAGTTTTCATTTCTGATTAATAGATGGCGTATGTTAGGGCTTTATATTAATATTTGGAACTCTACCTAATGAGTGAATTAAAGTGAAGAAACTGGTTAGCAAGATTTGTGTGCTACCTCTTCTCTCAATATATGCCCCAGCCTTTTTTCATCCAGCACTTCAAGTCTTCTTGAATTATAGTCTGTTAAGTCAACTAGGTACAGTAGAACCTCCATGAGAGGACACTCACGCTAGCAGACACCTCTCTACAAAGGACAGTTTTCATTTGCAAAATGACCATTTTTACTACAGTATAACCTCGTTAAATCGACACGCAAATTCGACACTCTACCTTAATTCGACCATGTTCTGATGTCCCGACCACCGGCCTATCAAATAACAAACCGTAATTCGACAGTATCCATAATACGGCACTTCCGATAGTTCAACCATTTTACAATTCGAATTTCGACAGTTGAATGTTTTTTTTAGATACAACTTTATTGCTAAAAACGGTATTACAGCGGCGGCGACGATCGGCGGGAGCCAATAGGATCGCGCCTGCGTACATTTTGTTTCTGGTTAGTTTAAGTTTTACTTTGCAGTGCCGTTGCGCAATGTCGTGAGTGTTATTTTTTTTTTACGCAGGAATTTAGGCATCGTGCACTATTTGATAATATTATTTTCTTTTTTAATTGAAATATTTTAGTTATTTTAAAATCTACACATAATTTCCTTTTAAATAAATAAATCTC